TCAATTAGAAAAATTGAAATGGAATAATGAAATATTTTGTATAGCATGTGTTGTTTTTACGTCCATCAGATGGCGCTGGTTTTCAAAAAAAGCATGTTTTTATAAAAAATCATGTTATTACCTGTCACAGGTGTGACATCTATATAATATACGTATATAAAAACATTTCCGTATTCGAATGCAACGTTGTGTCAAGATTTCAAAGCAATCAGTGAAGAACTTTTGGAGATTAGCGATTTTGAATAAACAACCATTACATTTTTATTTATATAGATTATTCTTTTTAATATTATAAACAAGTTTGGTACTTGCAGCATTCTGTTATCTTTCTAGTATGAATCAAAAGATATACGTTCCAGAAAGAATCTGGATTTAAAATTTAAATCCTATTTTCTCTAAGTTGAAGTTGCACACTTGGTGGGCTGGATTTAGTGCTCTGCAAGTTAAGGTGAGATGGAGAAAGATTTCCAAGATCAGTGTGTTCTAGTGATTAAGGCTCCAAACTAGAAAGTAAGAGATTGTGAGTTCAAATCCAGCCTTAACCATGAAAGCCAGGTGGGTGACTTTGGGCCAGTCATTTTCTCTTAACCCAACTGACCTCAAAAGGTTGTTGTGGGGAAAATAGAAAAAGGAAGATGTGTTGGATATGTTTGCTGCCTTGAGTTATTTGTAAAAATAATAGGCGGGATACAAATAAATAAAAATAACTATTTGTGGATTAAATCAGTGTTTTAAGTGCTGTAACTTTTATATGGTGGATTTCTAGAAAACTTCTGTTAAGATCTTTTACTATAGCAAGTTTCTTTTTTTCATTATAGGGCTCAATTAAAGATCAGTTGAAGGCATATGGTGCTCTCACAGAGAATGTGACTCGGAAGTATACTCGCCAGATCCTGGAAGGCGTTCACTATTTGCACAGTAACATGATTGTACATAGAGATATTAAAGGTACTTGACGGGGGCATTGTTATAAATGTGCTTGTTGAATTGTAAATATTTCTTCCTAAATCTTGGAAGAGTTGGTTTCCTTTTTCTCCTGGTATACTATTAAAAATAGCATTTTATTGAAGACCTTTCCTGCACTTTTCAAAACTTAATAAGTACATGTTTCAAGTGAGTGTGTTAGAAAAATGGTTAATATATGATATGATAGATACAATACAATAGTAATGTTATAATACAATATTGATTAACAAGCAGCAAGCCCAATTCCGTTTGGTTGAAGTAATAGTTTTACTAAGGATTACTGGTTGCAGTGTTCCCCACTCCCATTCGCCAGACCATCATGGTTCAATAGCATCCTGGTGCAATGTTTTGGAAACCAATTTGATACCAGGCACATCTTGAAAGGGCTGCACATTGTTTCCCAGGCCAGGTGTCCTTGGCCATCTGGATTAGTCCAATTTTCATATGTTTGGTTTCTGCCAGTGCCATTCTCTCCCCTCCTTTACCTTTACTTCCTCCTCCACTTCTTCCCCAAATGGCTATCTCTCTGCCCCCCCCCCCAAATTGATGGCAGGATGCCAGTAACTTAGTGGAGCATAGCAAAGATAGCAGAGCTGACAGCTGTGGTGGGGGCCTGGGAAGTTTTGTCCAGCTGTGGCTGGAGTACAAGTTGCAACTGTACATGAAATGGGACGAATAAAACACTTCAAGAAAACCTTTCATGAAGATAAATGAGGGAGGGAAGGAAACACATTAGACTTGCAAGATTATATTATGGTAGCTGTTCGAATAAAAGTAGTTTTAGGTCTACTCAGTATATGTTGCTTGGTTTTGCCCACCTTGTAGGTCTGATGCTACCTTCTTTGTGCAATTCACAATGCAAATTTTGTCCCTAAAGATCTGCATAGCCTGTTGCTGAAGTATTAAGTACCAGTTGGAGATGGAGGCATAAAGATGTTTTTTCCCTGTCACATGTAACCCTTAACCAGAAAAATTCAAGCCACCCCATTTGATTAGTTTTAGTACATTTTAAATTCCTATTTAAGAAGGTATTTGAAATTAGAAAGAACCATCTTTTATTTGTTTATTAATGTTGAAACAGATTTTTATGTTATGATTTTAATTTTGAACAGTTGTACCATGGATGTTTTATAGCAAATTACTTATTATTCACTGACAGTCAATTGATAGCCTGAGCTAAAGTTTAATAAATAACTAGGAGTCAGTGGAGAGTCAATGCATAGACCTAATGCTCATGTCGATTATTACTTGCCAACAATTGGTATATTCTGGATTAATAGAAGCTTCTGAATGATCTTCAATGGCAGCTCCATTTAGATCGCATTACAGTGTTCCAGATAAATGATAGTGTGGTTATGAATCACTGTTTAGACTAGTATTTGAGGTGTCAAAGTTGAAGAAATGTCTGTGCTTTCAGATTTTGAATTGGCTCTTTAACAACTAAGGGAAAGATTGCCCACTATGATTCCTTGAGTCATGGTTTAACTTCTTGTTTAATAGCTGAGCTCTAATTAAAAGTATATACATACAATTTTACATGATTCATTCATATTTATTTCAGATACCAACTGAATTATTCAGTCTACATATAGTATTTTTGTACACTAAATTGCAGTATCAATTAAACAAAAAGTGCACTTATTTTGTGTATGATTCTATTGGCCCTGTATGATTACACAGCAATAGCTGTTATTAATCCAAAGTGGGGACAATTACACAGTCTGTTTATATTTCTTTCAGGAGCAAATATTCTTCGTGACTCTGCAGGCAATGTTAAGTTGGGTGATTTTGGTGCCAGCAAACGGCTTCAAACAATTTGTCTATCTGGTACGGGAATGAAGTCTGCTACAGGAACTCCATACTGGATGAGTCCAGAAGTGATTAGTGGAGAAGGATATGGAAGAAAAGCAGATATTTGGCAAGTCTTATATTATTTTTTACCTGGAACGAATTGGGAAATAATTTCTTGCGCATTATTTTGTGAGCCCCTAAATGTACCCACAATGTTGCATTAAGATTAGGGCTGAGATTGTTAACAGCAGAGACCAGAATTTGGTTTATAAAAATTATACACAACTTCAGTTTGAAATATCAGCAGTTTGGTATTATCCCTGATTTGTGCATGACGAACACTCAAATTTAGTAGAGCAGTAGAGCAGAAAATGCCTAATATAGGTTTAAATCCTTAATTACCATTGAACTTTCTAAGGCAAAGAAAAATGTTAAACAATACCTCTAGGACATTGCCATCTGAAGTGATAGAGAAGTGAGAGAAAGATCTTTAATCATTGGCAATTTAGAAAGTCTCCATAAGTTGACAAACAATCTCTGTAGGTTTATCTAAGCCAAACCGAGGAGGACATTTACATTAGGTCATTTTAAGTGATGTCCACAGGAGTTTTATGGGGTCATCATGCGGGCATTCCTTTCTATAAACAGCTTTGCCCGTGTTCTAGAAAGTAGAAAATATTGGTCATGCCATTTTATAGGAATGCCCATTATTCATACTTGTTACACCAATTTTACTACCTTATTTATCTAACTGAGTCTGCTTCCTTCTATAGTTTTTCATTACTGGCTGATACAAACCATGAAACAAACTTCAGGTTGCAAAATCTGTATGCCTTATGAGAATTGTAACTTGAAGAAAGAAGTGGCATAGCCTTTGATGCAGGATTATTACCTTAAAGAAAATAGGATAATATGCTTTTCAAAGAAATAATAATGTGTTACTAAAAAAAAATTCAGACATAAATGTTCTTATTACCTTTCAGTGAGTGTCTTTCCTACTATAAATTCTGAAGAAGCTATTTTTATGGCATGTGTTTAGTAGTAAAATTATATTTCAATTATTGGAGCTTTAGAGGAAACTCAAAATAGAGCAGTCAGTATTTAAACTGGGTGCAGCTTTCTCTGATTTTCAAAAAACAGAATAATTGTTACAAATTGAAAATGACTAAATTTACCTGAATAAAATTCAGAACAATTGTGCTAGTATAGGATTGGATCTAATTGTTTGGTGAATGGGATTTTATCCCTAACAATGTCCCAGTGCAATATGAAGCAGAGAATTTTTTTTTAAAAAAATCCTGCTTATTTCTGTATTCTAGTTGTTTATTCCTACCGTTTTGGGATGATGAGGAGAGTGATGAATGCTCTGGGCATTGTAATGAAAACAATAAATTGGTTGAATCGCCTCACTTTTGTTTTCCCTGCCCCCTTCTTCCAGTAGAAACATGAACTTGATAACATTGAAAGAACAAATTTGTCTGCACCCAAATGAAATCTTAACAGAAACTAATATAGAGCTATAAAAAGCTTTTCTTTTGATGGGACATACATTATGCTTTGATTACCTTTTCCAGATAGTCTTCTTAATTTTAATTTGCTTTTCATTCTTGTTGCAGGAGTGTAGGCTGTACAGTTGTTGAAATGCTCACTGAGAAGCCACCCTGGGCAGAATTTGAAGCAATGGCTGCCATTTTTAAAATTGCCACACAGCCAACCAATCCCCAGCTGCCACCTCACGTCTCAGACCACGGTCGGGATTTTCTAAAGCGGATATTTACTGAGGCTAAGTTGCGACCATCTGCAGATGAACTGCTGAGACATACATTTGCACATTATCACTGATGGCCTGCCTCAATCCCTTTCACCTACTGCATTTTTTACTGCACTTTTTTTTATACAGAGTTGAAAAAAGACAAGGGAGAAGTTATTTCTCTTGATTCTTTCTTTCATATAAAATTGTTAAGATCTCTCTGCATATTTAGAATGCAGACTTTTTCCCATTTAGAATCTCCTTTGTTTCAGTAATGTACTGATGTGGTTTGCATAAAGCACTTTAGTACATATTCATTCCTATTTAAGGGGGTAAAGAATTTATTTGGACCATCAGGAATCATGTATAAGACTTCCCCATCTCTATTCCCTTGGCAAGCACTGCTAATTAACTCCCAAAGCTGGGAAGATATACATGTCACTAGCAGATTCAGAAAAACAGTATATATCCAGTGGTTGCGGTGTATAAATAGATAACAAAGAACTCTCAATTATATTTGAGCTTTGAAATAAGTTTCATCTGTGATTCTGGAAATTCATTTAGAAGCTAGAATCTCAGGTTGCTGAGCAAGGTACATTTTGGAAAATAAACCATCATATTAGCACAAAAATGTAAACCAAATAAGTGTTTTCTGCTTTGAAGATAAGAAGCCTGTTGTTTAATAGTGCTAGTGCATTAATGTCGTATATCCAGAATCATAGATAAACAGATTGCTGTAGTATCAGACTTCTCTAAAGTTAAACAATGTCCACGTATCATGCAACAAACTGATTTTCAGGGTTGGAAAGAATTGATCTGTGAGGAGTCTCTAATGGGTAGAATGAAATTTATTTCATGCAACATAATTCTGTTCATATTAATTAAGAATACGTTCCATATTCTTTCTTCTGTCCCAATTATTCTTCTGATTCCCTAAAATATTTTATAAGGTCCAGGTTTTTTTCTCTCTACTGTGAGTTTTATCATAAAGTACTTAATGTAGAAAAATGGCCAGAGTGTCAAAAATATAGTTTCTCTTTCTGTTGCTGCTGAACTGAATTCTGTGTCTGAGATGCATATTTTATTTGTCAAATCTCCTTGCTAATTTGCACTGGGCTGACCATGTGGGAATTATCTTCGTGGGTTGCAAATGCCTTATTAATTTGCGTTGGAAAAGCAAGTTTGGTAGAATGAGATCTGGAAGTTCCCATGTGTATCTGTACCATATAATTCAGTTACAGCTGAAGACGAAGGAAGACATAATACAAATTGAAAAAAAGACATTTTCACTCCCAATTGTTTTTTTAAATATATTTATTTATTTAGTTGTTTTACTTTTGATTTGATAATAAATGAATAATCAGATTTGGGATTATTATCCCAATTGTTTCAACCCATATTTGGACATGTATTAACAATAGAACTGTAGAATGTATGTTTGCTGGCTGGCCCTTTAGGATATATCTAGCACCAAACAATAATATAACTGGAAAATGGGAAAGATGCTTCCATTTTCCAGGAGTGGTGTTGTAAACATTACTATTAATTGTTTCCTAGGCTTTCTGCAAAATGTCCAAAGCAAGTCAAATTATATGAAGATAAATAGATACCATAATGATGCTATTAAACCTGACCAACAATGACATATAAAACATGTTACATAGGTATGAATCATAAACCACATATACAACAATATAAAAGTGTGTATGTGATTTATGATTCATGCTTACATAATGCTCCTGGCACCTTAATCATGACTTGGTAACCTGAATTTACGTCTTTATTTATTGTTAAAATAAGTTCAGATAGATAAAGCCTGTACTTTTGGAGAGCATCTCTTAGACATGCTGAAGAGAAATAGGCAGCCCTGATCCATATAGTCTTTCCCCAACTAAAATGTAATTTCAACACCAGATCACCAATAAATAGAAATGTATTTTTTCCATTTTTATAGAACTAGGGACATCTTTTAATCTTAATATCCCAAAACCAACAACCACCAAAGAATTGTACAAATAATAATCCTAGCGTTATACATTTTGGTGGTGTTGCTGCCCCGTTGATTGCAGCAATAAGCTGCAGCTATTAAATAGGGCTTTTGTTATTGGAAATTGACCATATGTTGTTAAAAGTACGTGGAATATTGCTTATGCATTAGTCTATAGTTGTAAGATAATTTAAATTGGAGAAGCAAATGTGGCTTGAACAAAATTGACAGCAAATCCTCTTTAAAAATATACAACCTATTAATTGAGTTGTTTTCTAAGGGTCTTAATTTTTGACTTTTGAAAGTAACAGAAATGTTTCTATAAGGAGGTCAGGTTTATTTTTCTAAAGGTGTACTTAAAATTTAAAATAACATGTAAAAAGGAATCATCATCGTCATGACTCCTTTCCTGTAACCCTTCAGTCTGTTATGGTTCTGTACAGAGCTGTGTTATCCTACATCTGAGTACAGGCTGTCTTTTTCTGGACCCTGTAAGAAAGCTCTGTAAGAGTCTAAATTTTCTAAACTGCCATCAAGCTGTAGCTATGCAAATTATGTAAAACATGAAAATTTCCAACACTTGGTCTCAAGTAGACTAAAAGAAGAGACAACAAGAGAAGTCCTCCTCCCACATTTATCAAAGTGTATATGTATATTTAATAGTTTTACCAAAGTTCTGTGCTCTCTCAATTAACAGGGCTTTGAAATGTTTAAAATCTAGCAGTCAGACAATCATTGCAGCCTCTGGGTGACCTCTGAACAGCGCTGTTGCACCAGTTCAAAATTGTTGAATGAAAATATTTGTTCGTGCAGACTATTTTGAAGACCAAATTTAACCTTCCACTTATTTCAGAAGGTAGTATCTAAAACAACTTAAATGCATTAAGGAATAAATTACACTGAATGCAGGGATACATTTTCTTTTTAGTAAATATGCGTTGGATTAAGTTGTTGGATTTTTTCCCCTCCAAATCTGAAGCAGAGCCTTAAATTATTTTTTGCAGGGAGACAGGAATCAAGCTCCATCCAGAAATTTCTAGCTTAAAGGGCAACACTAATCAGCTATACTTTTAAACAAATATACAAAGTCCTGTTTCAGCTGTAAAACATGAACTGATACTGTTGGAATAGAATCACTGGCTGCCTCTCCTTGCTCTTTCACTATGTAAATAATAGCCTGTTTATGGTGCTTTTCTGCTATAATTCAATCTTTCTTGGATCGGCTTTATCCCACCATGCCTTTTGGGAGTTTAGAAGCTTAGGGCAGTGAGTTCTTAAAATTATATTAGGGCAGCGAGGGCAATTGGCTCGGCATGCCAAAAATTCAGAAAATGCCAACATTGACTTTGGTGGCATGTCACATTTCCCCTCCTTCCCCAGTCAGAGAGGCCTGTCTTGACTCTCCTCTAGATTCTCCTCATCCTGTGAAAGTACATAAGAGAGCCCTGCTCTTGGAGGGCCCCTGAAGCCTAAAAAAAAATCACCCGAGAGCATTCTTGTGTGATTTTCTGAGGCTCTAGAGGCCCTCCAAGAGCAGGGCCTTCTTATGCAACTCCTAGAAGGTCTGGAGGCCTGATGTATCATCAAAAATGACATGTCATATCATAGGCTAGTTATCATACTAAGGTCTTTTAGGAGTCTGGCACAGCGCTAACCTGATTATCAACAGGTCTGATGTTCACATGATGTAGGATACTGTGGTAACAACTGGGACAGAGGGTAAATGTGATTATGTAGAAACTTGACTTCTTGTCCCTGATTGGGATGTGAAATATGTTTTTTATACAAAATAGAAAGTGCTGACATCAATTGAACTTTGGAAAAGGCTAGTTTCTTTTGATAATTTATTAAACAAAAGCATAAGAATAACTCATGAATGTGTGAATCCCCGAAATACAGAAGTAATGTGAAATTTGCAGCTCTAAAATATTTGAAAGTAATAAGGCCTTAAAATGGATAAAATTCTATGGAGTAGATAGGTATGAGAGCACTCAGTATTATGTGAAGGAGCAAAAATATATATTAGGTGGCTTAAATTCATGCAGAACAAGAAATGTAAGAGACAATACTTTTTGCTAATAAATTAGAAAAAAACCCAGAAATTTAGACAATTAGAATTTAATATATTCTGAACAGGAATAATTTTGTGATCAAGTTGTTGGAATATGGATGAGTGTAGGAGTTGCTTTAGGGGAAAAATGGTGATACAATAGCCCTTTGCCTTTCTAAAGTTATGTGCAATTTAAAATATATTCCTTATCAAAATAACTGAATTATAAGATTTATTCTGCTGTGTATATTTTACATATAATTTCTATACAGAACAATTTACAATGACCCTAAACCTATATTTTAAGTGTGTTTATATTTGAAGTAGCATGGGAGATTTCTATCCATGCTATTTTTATTCTAGGGAGCTAAAGATACACTAGGGACCCATAAAATGCAGATGGCATTTCCATTTTATTTTGTGCCTTGTTTAAACTTTTGCATAACTTTAGTCTGAGTACTTCTATTACCAAAAGGTAATAATGTGATCTTTAAATATAATTCTAATGCAAGTTAAGAATTATAAAATCTTGTAATGTCCAAAGAAGTATCTTGAAAGTAGGCAGAGTCCAAAATTGTAGATAACTTGCCCAGATTGCAGGATACTTTGTGCTCCTCAAATCCATAGTGTGGCTGAGGGAGAAAGGGGAAAAAAAACAACAGCAGAGTAAGACTGATAGCTGTGCCTTCTTTTAATATTGTGTTTTGTGTTGACAATGACAATATAAAAGTGTTTCAAAAAAAGGATGGATATAAAGAAGTTTCCCAATCACTTCTAATACCAGCTTTAGTGGAGGGAGGTAGCTCAGTTATTAATGATTTACCTTTAAGCCACAAGGGACAGTTCCCAGCAATTTGGCATGAAGTTATTGAAGTACACATCCAGTTTTGATATGAATTTGTAAATAAAGTTTACAAAACAAAACCATAGTGATTGACAGCAAGCTTGCTGTTGCAATTCAAGCCAAATTTTGATCATTTTAATTACATTTTCCTTGGACTTCATCAAATGAGGCTGGGGACAGCTTATGTGATTATAGGCAAAAGTTTTCTAACTAGAAACTTCTAATAAATATATCAATTAAGCTAGAACTAAAACACTAATATAAAAATACTTACGTTTCTGAATATCTAAAGTGATAATTTAGAATCCTTCAAAGCTTGCCAATACAAATTGTGTCTGTTGACAGTGATTTGTAACCTTTTATTTTTAGTCTTAGAATTTCAAAAGTATAAACATATAAGATCATGGAACAAAAGCTATATATTCTTTATATTATTAAAATGATTATGAGAAAATGGTATGGGAATATGTCACATTCAAATAATTATTCTAAAAAGAAACTGGAAACACAAGGGAAAATTTAATATCCCTCAGAGCTGAGTAGACATAAGCTACATATAGCACATAATCATGTCCTTATTTGTGTTAAAAATGAAGACAATTGTGTAGCTGCCTTTTCTGGTATATCAAAAATAATTTAGTATATTATTTTTCAGCCCATTTGTGCAAGATTTAATGTGTGTCCCATCTGCATTATAAATCATTTCTGAAACTGCAGTGGTTCAAACCCAGTGTGAAGCATAACTAAAATCCAGAAAGAAAAATGCATCATACTAAGATGCTATGTTTCTGGGTATAGTCCTGAATAAATGTGCCAATCATAAATCCAAATATTCATTTCTTTTTTTCATATATGACATGGGGTACCCATTAAAGGTAGATCTTGGGAGCACTAGCTTCCTAGCAGACATAAATACACGTAGCATGCAACAATCATTTTTCTAAACCACAAATTAAACATTTTAATGTGAATTTATTTGTAATTTACATCTTGACGCCTGATATTTTTCATGAATTTGAAAGTGACAGGGAGGCTTGGCATGAAGTCTGACCAGTACCTTCAGATATGTAGGATTTGGATTAAGAAAATAGATATTTTGATAAATTAGAAAGCCTAAAATCTAAAAAAAGATGATGGTCTCCTTGATGAAATTTTAATTTTTAAAATAAGCTTTACTCCTTAATTTTTAAGAAGTATGGATTACACACATTGGATTAAAATGTTCTTGTTATACTAACAAAGCATTCAAAGACATCTGAGTGCCTTTATGCCTTAAGTTTATTTTCTTAACATATTGATTACAGAAAAGGTTCAAATCATATAGGACCACTTACTAAGTAGCATAATAAATTTTCCCTTTCCTTTTAAAATTAACTAGGGAGTATTTACAACAATAATTTTTATCAGAGTTATAAGTATATATAGACTTGCAAGCCTTGCTTTTAAAAATACTGATAGTATGTTAAATCTTTATCCAACCAAGTATGTTATTAGTTTTAATAAGCTGTTAAAAATATTCCAAGTTCACTCATTTCAAATAGCACTTAAATTTAGATATGATTATATTCTTTATTCTTAACCCTAGAACTGGTAAATTCTGCAATAACATATACATGCAAATTATTTAATTCTGGAATAATCAGCAGCTCAAGTGAACTGAGAATGATTTTAGTGGTGCTTTCTTTTAAGAAAGTATTTGCTTAAAGCAAGCGACAGTATTGGTTTTGAATAGGAAAATCAGATGTGATTTCAAATAAGGTATTTGTATTCTATTAGTGCCATGTAGCTTTAATAAGGACAAATCTTGTTCCTGCCATTGTCCAGATTTAATGTAGAATTCAGTAACACTTTCAACCAACTTTGCAGCAGTGTCTGGCATTTAAGAAAATTGATCAAAAAATTTATATATATATAATGAAATTTATTACACCTATGGAGAAGTACAGACTTTTATGCTTGAATGTATATCTCTAAGGTGAGGGATTTTTTAAGCAAAAGTATTACTGTCAACATACCAGTACAGGTTTGTTTGTGTACTTATTATGTATATGTTAGTAAATTGCTGAAAACCAAAGCTTTTATACTCCTTAGGTACAGCCAAAAGCACTGTTTATCTAGTTTAGTGGCTGTTAGCAACTTTCCTGTGATTTCTAAGTTGTGCTGGATATATTTATTACTATGGCTCTCTCAGACACACATGCAATCCAAGTGGCTCCTTGAGCAGTAATATCTCACAATTATACCCACCATGCTTTTGGATATTTAAATGTGTTCTGGGGTCCTAAAATGCAGTCTTTTTGGAATCCAAGTCTTATAATCCCGGGTACTACTGGTTATACTATTTTGGGAGCTTGAGCTAACTCTAGTTCAGTGTTAAATATGTAGATTCCAATTGAAACAGAAGAGAGAGAGAATCTGGTACAGAAAGTAAAGTAGATATATCCCTTAAAGAAAAATGAAGGTACTTATCCAAAATCTAGCTTTATATGGAAAGTAGAAAAATTAGCTCAGAATTAAAAATTCTGCAGTTATAATATAGACTAAAATTTCATATGAAGCCTTTTCAAAAGTAAAGAAATATTTTTAATGAATTTAAACATTGGCTTAAATATATTGTATTTGTCATTGGACTCCAATATAACTGTGGAGTTATATTCTATAATGGATATATTGAGTATATCCTACATATACCCACTACGTTAGATTGTACTTGAGGATGATATATAAGCCCTATCAGAACAATCATTGGTTTCATCATCTCTCTAGGGCAAATTATTCTCATATAATCCATTATACTAATCAGACCTTTGGACATATTGTGTAGTGAAGACCATTACTATTTGGATGGTATACTTGAAATGGTGCAGTATTCACACAGCTCTGATCATGCTGATTCCCCTTTGATCATGTGAAAATCGTCATACAATTGCAGAGAAATGTGCACGTGGCAAATGATCCTGTGTATGAGCACAGCAACTCTATTTTAATTATTATAATTACAAAATGAAATGGAAATGTTGCAGACTATATCAACCATGAAATTGAGCATTGGGCTTATGCAGAAGGAATTTTGAATGCAAGTATCTGTCCAAACAAGTGTGTTAATTATAATAATGATTTTCCAAATTTCCCGGTCTTAAAATGGAAAACAAATTCTCCTTAGTGAAAGAAATCTAACAAGCAGTCCTTATAATACCATTTTTAACATACAGTATGCTGCCTTAGAAAAGAAGGAAGATTACTAACTGAGGATAATTATCTAAACCTCAGCCTCTTTTATAAGAGAGGCTGGAGCTAGGTTCTTCGTCAGGCTGTACAGTTTAAAGTGAGTGACTGCTTTGACTATATTAAGCCATTCTTAGTAGATGGATAGTATATGAAACCAAATGGAAATTTTTAAAATCCCATATAGAACAGTATTTTGTCACAACTCAAGAGAACATATCTTGGCAACTTGATAGCAGATTCACAAGCTTAGTAAACATGAAAAAGTAGGATTGTATTTCATTTGTATGTGTGTAGCTCCTAAAATCGATGACACATTGAAGGCAAAATCCCAATGAAATCTCAATTTGGGACAGAAGCTTGCTTTTATTGTTAATTTGGGTTTAACAATGTACATAATATATGATTATTGCCATGGCAAGGAATGTGAAATGACTTTAAATTAAATGTATTTGTTTGAGAGGAACAAAAAGACTGATCCACAGGCATGGGGAGATTATGCTTAGATTCCTTCATGGGGAGGGTGTTGGATTAAATGGTCTTTTCTGTGATCTGATTTCTTTCTCCATTAACATTTTACCATATTCTATCTGATCTTGTTCTTGAGGAGTCCCTGTTTTGAAGGTCTATGTTTGAAGGGGACGCAAGGGCTGCAGCATAAGAAGAAAGTGGCAATGTCTTCCTTTGTGAACAGAGGTCTCTGACTGACCTGACAAATGTAACAGGCATAGAAGATCAAATTGTAGGAATTTACAGTAAGTAGGGAATATTGGCCTAGCATCAAAGTCCTTTTAAAATTATACAGGGTAAAATTTAAAGTTTTCATTCAAATACTTTACATTTTTCAGTTGGATTGTTTTTGGCCATTACTTTATTTATTTTGCTAATTTTAACCTAAGAATATTTATTCTAAAAGACAATTTATCTTTAAAAATAAACTATATTTTTTTCTCGTTCTGCCCTTTCCCTCCTATGTGTGATGAGTGGGCATCACACATTATACTAGATAAAGTGGGTTAGAGATGGATTGTAGTTTCCATCTAAGTATTTCTGTATAAATAATAAAATATTATTCCATTCTGAAAATAAGTTTACAGCTTAAGGGGAAAAAGAGAATTAGTATAATGAGCCAAAGTATTCCTTGTGCCATAGCAAATTAAAACATTGCACATACTCAGTCTCATCATTCCAAACAATTTAGAGCCATAGTCTGTTTGGTGTCTTAGGAAATGAATATTAAAGGCATGCAAACAAGCGAGCAAACCTGAGATTTCAGAGCTACTGGAATCTTAGCAGCATCTCAAACGAGAATGTACATAGGAAACCTATTACATTCCTTTGGGAATAGGTGGGGAATTATATAAATGCTCTCGTACAGTTGTTTTTTTTTCTGTTTCTCCCCTTAAATTAAACATACAAAAGCTAATAATTTCTACAACAGTGTTTCATTGTGACATATTCAAACTTAAATGATTGACTTACAAGGGAGAGGTGGTTTATATTACTGGGTATTAACACTGCTATGGTGGACAATTAGAATTACTTTTCTACGAAGTTTACTGAGTCTGTATTCTGAGAAACCTCAGAAATGGTGTCAATAATGGGAATTTTCAGAATTAATGCATTTAGAATTATTCCATTTTTATTAACTTCACATACCATCTGTCCCCATGCAACCCCACATATGTATGCACTGTGCATCTAACAGGCACATAATTAGTTAAAAAATATAGAATACTTTCTTTTGGAACAGGGTCTAAAAGTTCAATTTCACGTTGCTTGCTTTTTCTGATTGTTTTGCTAATATCACCAGTTTAAACTTGGTACTTTTAACTGTAAAAAAGAAATAATTACCACAATTATGATACATTCATACTGTCATACCTCTAGCAAGTGTCACTATATATGAAGTCAGTGGCAGACTCATTTTTCAAAAAGCTATGAATAATATATAAATCTTATCCTTTTGATCTAATGTACATTTTTATGCAGCTGTCAAATTCTCTATTTAATCCCTTTATTTCTCTAAATGTTTTTACTCTCTGTTTGAATGCTGGGCACACTTTGTAACGTATGTACACAATGGTATTTTTTTCTATCGATGTTGACTCTTTTGCACATTTTTTGAAAATGTTTAATTTGTACACTGATTTAATACTCTGACCAACTGTTATGGAGTGTATGGAAAATATGTATGTGTGCAATGTACTACTGTCTTGAATGTATGAGGATTTTCTAATTCAGTATAAATGTATGTCAATTTCTGGCTTTATCTTGGTTGAGGAACTCAGGACATTAACGTTGCTTACTAGTTCCCCATTGTAAATCTAATCCAGCAACTTGGTTGCATCTAAGCAGCTTATTCTCTCTCTTTTCCACACATGCACGCACACCCACATGCACACAAATCATTCCATTTGTGAACAGGATTTTTCCAGCTCACTTTATACTGTTGGAATATACCAGTCAAATATTGGCAATAGATTGCAACATAATTGATTTAAAATAGCAGTTAATTGAGTTTTCTCTTTCCTGTCTTTAATGTAAGTCTTTTCACATTCAGTTTTGAGTATTTGACCATTATTTGAATGGAAAATTGGCCAAATACCAAATTGTTTTACCTATGTGTGATGAGAGTGCATGCAAACTTTTCAGAAGTATGAAGCAGCTAAGGAAACACTGCTTACATGAAACTTCATGCACTCATCAAAGCCTTGGTAAACTTTGGGTTGTGGCAAAGATGTCTAACTTTCAAAAATAAGGTATACAAAAATACCTTCAATGTACTGTTTTCTCTTTCCAACAGACTCCAGATTCATTTCTACATTTTTAAATAATTCTTTTTTTAAAGGTACTGCGTTTAGTTAGATAAATATATAAAAGCTTTGAAAGATAATTTACTAGATAAATATATTTTCAGCTGGCTGATATTCAGAAAATATTTTTTTAATTTTTGTTTTTAACCATTCAAAATGTATTTGTATTTCCAGAATTGGACTTGAATTGTATATTAAAACACTCTGGCTGGACAATGGTTTGGTTTGTCTTGTAAGTTCTCTCTCTCCCCCCCCCCCTCTCTCTTGCTCTCTCTCTCTCTCTCTCTTGTTACAATGAATGTTATGTCTCCCTCTGGATCTTAAATCTTTCCTTGTTTTCTGGTACTGGGAAAATTAAAGCATATTGAGGGTACTAGCAGAATACCAATGTTTAAATTTAAGTTGACAACCTAGTTTGAAAGAATCTTTGTATTAATGATTAAGACGTACTAACTATAAGGTTGGGAAATAAAGCACGGGGGATCTCAAGAATCGACATAAAACTGGTATTCTTTTTTTTAAAGAGTGTACTAATGGCCTGGTATGGTGTGGTTTGTTCCATTGTTCATGCACATTAGGACTTTATTATAGTGCTTGTACAAAATGTATAATTTTTAATTTTTTTTTAAAAAGTATGTATTTATCCATTATTTTCTTTCTGGTAAATGGCTTTTTATTTTATTATGGGGTCTTTATCAAATATAAAGTAAGCCATGCTTTTATTATCTTGTGTTTGACCAAATGACTTTGTTTTATGAAATGTGTATATTGCTGGTACACATCTTCGTTCAGAACGATTGTGCATGATGACCTGCAAGAATTAATAGAAGAAAGATTTTTTTTCCTTCCATGTTATTTCATTCTGGAAAGGTTATGGTGCAAAGGTATACTGGATGTAGTTTATGGAATGACTATAGATAATGGCACTTTTAAGTGTTAATAAAACAAATATTTATTTCCAATGTGTGTATTCTATTTCAAAAAGTATGTTAATAATATTTAGCACTTATATAATGCTTTCCTATACTGTCTATAGTTTATACATATTTCAAGAATTTTTACAAGTTTTGCAGATTACTTTGCCTGCCGGTCAAAAATGGCAATTCAGAATGGATTATAAACACGTGGATTTTGAATAATCTTGTTTCCAAAGTGAGGTCCTATATAAATTGACTTGGTAATAAATTTCACTGATTCCAATTTGGCATACTTGGGTTTTAAATTACAATCTCAATAAATATGCTACACTATTCATTTAATATAGCACTTCTATATAAGGTGTTTTGCTGATTTCAATGTGTATAATATTAGAATAACTATTTATGCAGGTAGACCTAGACCAGTGATGGCAACCGAGTGCCCAAACCACTAGCCAGCTGGTCTTCGGGTTTCTGGTGCGCATGAAGACGGAAACCAAAAGAGCAGCTGGCGATGTCATGCGTGCCCACAGAGTGGGCTCTGCTGCAACCTCTGACATATGTGCCATAGGTTAACCATCACGGTCCTAGTCTTACAACTACTGGTTTAACAACTGTTTGGAGTTATGAAGGCCTTTGAATGGGTGCTTTACAGTCCATAAAATACAACTATTGTAAAATGTCACAACACATACACGTTTCTGTAGTTACACAACTGCATATCAAGTGATTAGCTGGTTGAAACATCCTGCAGTCACACGATTGCAATTCGTGACTTTTTTTACTAATTTCTAGCAAAAAAATGTGCATTCAGAAGAATGGGTTCACCAAATAACTGCATGGTTCAGTTAATGACAGTTGTGAAAAATATTGAAAAAACAGGCCAATCACATGGATGCCTCAACTTACAACCATCATGACTCACAACCAGATTTCTGATCCCAGCTGTGGTCATAAATTGAGGGTTAGCTACTGTACTTCTCTAAGCCAGTGTTTTTCAACCACTGTGCCGTGGCACACTAGTGTGCCGTGACATAGTGTAAGGTGTGCCGTGGGAAAAACACTTTATATATAGTCAATATAGGTACAGAGTTAAATTTTTTAAACATTTTCTAATGGTGGTGT